CCTAATGTAGATCTCATCAGTACAGGAATGATCGGCTGTTTGTACAGGCTGCCCCACCGGTCCCTTCTGGCATTAAACCACAGCAGAAAGTGATCCAGCTCTGACTGTGCTCTACGGTGTCACCGAGAGTGAAATTCCCTTCCTTTCCCCCTGATTTCTCACTGCAGACCCCCACAGTAGTGGGAACGGACCCCTTCTACAGCAGTCTGATTTTCCGAGCAGAGCGTGCTGGGCAACCTGAATCTGCCAGGGCCAGGAGAGTGACAAATTGTAGAGGAATGTGACAAAAGGCGGGTGAGCAGGACTCGTTACCGGCCAGGGAAATACACATGGGCGCAATCCTCAGGGTTGATGAATTCAGCCGCTGCCTTGCTAGGGCATGGGTGACCACCCTGGCTCAGCGGGTGAGACCGGCTGCTTGTGTAACTGCTGAGGCACCGGGAACGGGGGGCATCGATACACGAGCAGGGAATCCGCAGAGAAGAGAGCAAGAGAGGAGATCATTCTGTCTGAGCTTGTTTTTCCCATTTCTCTTCCAAGCAAGTTGCTCATTAAATTTTAATTTTCAGCTAGTTAAAATTCAAAATTCACGTAATCTGTCTGCAGCATGCAAAATGCATTATGCCAATGAAGGGGTTTATATGCAGAGATATTATGTGCACGCTCAGAGTTTGTAACCAAATCAGTTTTAATCTAGGGTATTTAAATCAGCACAAATTTTTCAGTAGCTATGAAACGGATCTACTCAGTTCCTTTCCAGTGGCAGGAGGGACACCCTGCATGCCGGGCTGCGGAAGCATTGGCCTTGTTTTGCAAAGTCAGGGCTCTTAGGATGGGATAAAATGATTTCCTGAGCTCATGCTCATGCTCCAGTGATGGGCTTCCAACCAAACCCCAGCTCCAGCGAAAACCAGGCTGCAATTCCTTGCAGCACGGCTCCTTGGAAGCGGGGGATTGCGGGGAACAGCAAGGCAGCTGCAGGGGACGTGTATAATAGAAACTGTGAGTGGAGGACTGAGCTTTTTTTTCTACTCCCTTGTTCCCCCAGGCTTCGGAGGCTGTCTGTTGGGAATAGCTGCCTTTTTTTGGTGGGGGAAGGGAGATTTTATACAGAGCCGCAGCCAATTTTGTTTAAAGAACTAGTACCCTGCTAGCCCGAACACGGGTCTGGCACAGAGGAGGCCCAGCTGCTCACTTCTTGAATCTGTAATCAGTTCCCATTAATGCTGCCTCAGTTTCCCCCTTGTAGCGTGAGAGTAGCCACGGTTTTCTACACAAATTGTATTTATAAAGCACGCGCTATTTTTAGGGCGAGTAAGAAGTGAACAGGGAAGCAGATTAAATTTGTCCTGGATACCAATTACGCGTTGAATCACTGGCTTAGGAGCTTTCCAGGGGAATGAGCAATGTCTCCTCCAGCAGCGTATTTGTAAAGACAGGTTTTCATAATCAGCCTTTGTATGTACGTATGGACATGCAAGTACGTGTTTCTTCAGCTTCCTGAAATCTGAAAACCTTTGAAGAATTAAACAAGCTAGTGACATAGTCTCATCGGTTTTTTGTGAGAGTAAGATTGCACTGGTTTCCTTCCAAAGCTGCTGGTTTGGGGTCCGGAGTGGGCGAGAGTGACCCCTTGTGCTAAAGACAGGGGCCCATCCACACATCCACATCTCTGGAGAGGCTGGAAATCAAGAATGTTTGCAAACCAAACGTTATCCTGAGCGAGAACTGAACAAATCCCAGATGTTCTTCATTCTTTCCAGCATTTAAAACCCTAACTACCGTTAGGGCTGCAGAGAATGCCAGCACCCACATCAAGGAGGTAAACCAGCTCTCGTTTGGCTGGGAAATGAAATTATATTATCCTGACACGCTCTCTGCCGGCAAGCACTGAGAAAGCACACGCTTAGAAAAGCCCTTTTGCTTTGCCCTGGGATGGCTGCAGAAGCATTACAGGCTAGTTTTGATCTGCGGGAGGGATAACGTATTTGCATAAGGGATGCAAAGTGACTGCTTTTGAGGCTTTGGAGACCCAGGGAACAGAAATCTTGGCGTGCCACATTACCTGGTTCTTGCCAGTGTCTCCTCAGTAAGGCTTTTGGAGTTTGTGTGTTAAATCACCACCCCGACCTGTTCCACCTTTTAGAGCTTGTCAGCGACACGATGTTGTGTTTGCGTTTCCTGCAGGATGACCCTCGCTGCCTGAACGTCATAGAGTTTGATCGCCTGTTGCGGGAATCCCAGCGAGAGGTGTTGCGGCTGCAGAGACAGATCGCACTGAAGAATTTCAAGGAGTGTCTACGTTCCTCTAAAATCAGTTCAGGCGGCGCTTTGCCAAGCACTGCCGCACGTGTGGGACCGCCCGCACCGACGCTAAATACCTGCATCAAAGGTTCACCTCTACCGAAGGAGACCCGCTTGGGAGACCCAGCACTTGGAGGGGAAGCACGCAGGGAGGTGAGACAAGTGGGTCAGCGATCTAAAAGTTTTGCTGTTTAACTATTCAGTTAATTAAACAAGGCCAGGTCGGATGGGGCTTTGAGCAACCTGGTCTAGTGAAAGGTGTCTATGCCCATGGCAGGGGGCTTGGAATCAGATGATCTTTAAGGTACCTTCCAACCCAAACCATTCGATGATTCTATGAATTACTGTTCTTAGGAAAGTTCTTAAGAGTGCGTGAGCGCTGCAGTTCGCATCCGCTGCGAACAGGCGCCGGGCTGGTTTATAAATGACCAAGTCGAGCGCCAGGTCTCATCGGGCGAGGGGGGTCATGGGCGCTGCTGGCAGCCCACTCCAGCGCGGGGCCACTGAGCCACGCCGGGGGCTCGGTCCTGCGCATCTTCCCCAGCACGGGTCTCCCGCGCTGCCTTTTCCAGCCCAGGATAGCAGGCAACCCCTCTTTTTACCCTCATTTGATGAAAACACACGGCTTCGGTGTTTGCGGAGGTTCGGGCATTGGCTCCCAGGGGGTGAGCGACGGGCACCCACGGCTGGGGTGGCGGTGGCAGGGAGGCCGGCTGCTCCCTGGGCCCCCTCCCCTGCCAGGGACGGGCCCGTCCCCCACCGCCCCCGGCGCAGTGCCTCCAGCCAGGGCGATCCCCCGCGGCGGGGCCG